GTGAAAGGAAGAATGACCTGAGCAGAGAAAATGAATTCAGAGATACCTTGTGAAAGAAAGTACCCGGGTCAGGGTCTCCAAGGTCTGGCAGCTGACTACTCCTGACCCCGACTCTTAGGCATGTCATGGACTCTGGCCACTGGGTCTGGGAGGAGAGGTGGGGCAAGAAAGGAGTCTTCTTCAGCCTGTCCATCAATGGTGGAGCTTCACTTGCAAGGGAAGAAAGGCTGTCACATCTGGTTATATTGAAAAGATGGAGGCACAGCAGTCAAAGTCAGGACTTTGATCATTAGGATGTTCATTCATCCTTGAAATGTCTACTGAGCAAGGCAGTGTGAAAAACACAGACCAAGAAGATGCAGATCTTGCACTTGTCAGGATGATGGCATCGCAGAGAATAACTCGTGTCAGAGTGACTCAGGCCACATGTGTAAGAAATAACGTGAAAGGGTGAGTACATCTGTTTCCGGGTGGAAATGATTTCCCACTCAGGTTTGTGGGACAGGTAGACACACGGAAATGGAGAAGCAAAATCCTGAGAGAGGAAATATCATGGGCAGAGGCTCAGAAGAGAAATTATCCAGGCACTTCTAACTTTCGGTGTGAATAGAAATCAGAGGGAAAGTGAGGTATCATGCATGGGGATTTCCCAGAAAATGAGACAAAGCACATTTCATCTCCTGCTTGCCTGTGGTTAAAATTTTTCTAAACAAGGAGATCACTGCTCAATGGAACAGCTGAGAGCAAAAATCCTTCGAAATCTAAAGAACTCCAAGATGTTTAATTTGTATACTGAATCTTCCCTACAAATTTCTAAATAAAGAAGTGGTCGTCTTCTGCAACAGGGCTTCTCAACCTCAGCAGCACTGGCATTCTGGACTAGGTAAACTACTTGCTGTCTTACACACTGCGGGATGTTGACAGAGCAGCATTCCAGACCTCGGCTTGCTAAGTCAGTAGCACCTGCCCAAGTGTTACCAGGTGGAACAATCATCTCGACACTGCCCAGTGGCCCAGGGAACACAGTTACACCCTCCCCTGCCCAGCGGGGAGGTGCTGGTGCCCAAGTTCACTGACTCCAGTCTGTTCTCCTTGCACAGACACGAGTGAAGAGCAAGGCAAATCCTCCGTGCAAGGCAAGCAAAGCAGTGTCTGTTTTGCTGTCAGAGTAAAGTAAATGTCACTGTTATCAGCAGGATGTGTAACTCTACTCACTGTTGTCAGTAAATGAAATTCAACTCCCCTATATTGTGATTTCCAACCACCCTCTATTTGACAGCCTCTCACATGACTGAAGGCAGGTATATCCTCCACAGCATTCTAATGTTGGCAAGATGTAGTCTCTTGGCCATCATTTATTACACACTTATAACCATGCATGGCCTAAATACTGTTACAGCAAACTCTTAGTGAAATAAAGTCCCTTTCTAGTTATCATGATGGAAATTAAGAGAAAACATTGATGCATAAAAAAGAGATGGTTCTCAGTTACAAAATCTAAGATGGATAAAACAAGTGCCTGAAACCTTAAATCTTATGCATGTCTGTACCCAGAAATTTTTTTCTCTCTGGTGAGATATAGCAGCTTCTGTGTCTCTTACCCTTTTTTTTTTTTTTTTTTTTTTTAGAGCTAACACCTATCTTACTCAAACTCTTACAGAAAATTGCAGAAGGTAAACTTCCAAACTCATTCTATGAGGCCACCATCACCCTAATTCCAAAACCAGACAAAGATGCCACAAAAAAGAAAACTACAGGCCAATATCACTGATGAACATATATGCAAAAATCCTTAACAAAATTCTAGAAAACAGAATCCAACAACATATTAAAAAAATCATACACCATGACCAAGTGGGCTTTATCCCAGGAATGCAAGGATTCTTTAATATCCACAAATCAATCAATGTAAAACACCACATTAACAAATTGAAAGATAAAAACCACATGATTATCTCAATAGATGCAGAAAAAGCCTTTGACAAAATTCAACATCCATTTATGATAAAACTCTCCAGAAAGCAGGAATAGAAGGAACATACCTCAACATAATAAAAGCTATATATGACAAACCCACAGCAAGCATCACCCTCAATGGTGAAAAATTGAAAGCATTTCCCCTGAAATCAGGAACAAGACAAGGGTGCCCACTCTCACCACTGCTATTCAGCATAGTTTTGGAAGTGTTGGCCACAGCAATCAGGGCAGAAAAAGAAGTAAAAGGAATCCAGATAGGAAAAGAAGACGTGAAACTCTCTCTGTTTGCAGATGACATGATCCTCTACATAGAAAACCCTAAAGACTCTACCAGAAAATTACTAGAGCTAATCAACAAATACAGTAAAGTTGCAGGATATAAAATTAACACACAGAAATCTCTTGCATTCCTATACACTAACAATGAGAAAACAGAAAGAGAAATTAAGGAAACGATACCATTCACCATTGCAACAAAAAGAATAAAATACTTAGGAGTATATCTACCTAAAGAAACAAAAGACCTATACATAGAAAACTATAAAACACTGATGGATGAAAGAAATCAAAGAGGACACAAACAGATGGAGAAATATACCGTGTTCATGGATTGGAAGAATCAATATTGTCAAAATGGCTATACTGCCCAAAGCAATCTATAGATTCGATGCAATCCCTATCAAACTACCAACAGTATTTTTCACAGAACTAGAACAAATAATTTCACAATTTGTATGGAAATACAAAAAACCTCGAATAGCCAAAGTAACCTTGAGAAAGAAGAATGGAACTGGAGGAATCAACCTGCCTGACTTCAGACTATACTACAAAGCCACAGTCATAAAGACAGTATGGTGCTGGCACAAAGACAGAAATATAGATCAATGGAACAGAATAGAAAGCCCAGAGATAAATCCACGAACCTATGGTCACCTTATCTTCGACAAAGGAGGCAAGGATATACAATGGAAAAAAGGCAACCTCTTTAACAAGTGCTGCTGGGAAAACTGGTCAACCACCTGTAAAAGAATGAAACTAGAACACTTTCTAACACCATACACAAAAATAAACTCAAAATGGATTAAAGATCTAAATGTAAGACCAGAAACTATAAAACTCCTAGAGGACAACATAGGCAAAACACTCTCCGACATAAATCACAGCAGGATCCTCTATGACCCACATCCCAGAATTTTAGAAACAAAAGCAAAAATAAACAAATGAGACCTAATGAAACTTAAAAGCTTTTGCACAACAAAGGAAACTATAAGGAAGGTGAAAAGACAGCCCTCAGATTGGGAGAAAATAATAGCAAACGAAGCAACAGACAAAGGATTAATCTCAAAAATATACAAGCAACTCCTCCAGCTCAACTCCAGAAAAATAAATGACCCAATCAAAAAATGGGCCAAAGAACTAAACAGACATTTCTCCAAGGAAGACATACAGATGGCACAAAAACACATGAAAAGATGCTCAACCTCACTCATTATCAGAGAAATGAAATCAAAAGCACAATGAGGTACCATTACATGCCAGTCAGGATGACTGCTATCCAAAAGTCTACAAGCAATAAATGCTGGAGAGGGTGTGGAGAAAAGGGAACCCTCTTACGCTGTTGGTGGGAATGCAAATTAGTACAGCCACTATGGAAAACAGTGTGGAGATTTCTTAAAAAGCTGGAAATAGAACTGCCATATGACCCAGCAATCCCACTTCTGGGCATACACACTGAGGAAACCAGATCTGAAAGAGACACGTGCACCCCAATGTTCATTGCACCACTGTTTATAATAGCCAGGACATGGAAGCAACCTAGATGCCCATCAGCAGACGAACGGATGAGGAAGCTGTGGTACACATACACCATGAAATATTACTCAGCCATTAAAAGGAATTCATTTGAATCAGTTCTAATGAGATGGATGAAACTGGAGCCCATTATACAGAGCAAAGTAAGCCAGAAAGATAAAGACCATTACAGTATACTAACACATATATATGGAATTTAGAAAGATGGTAACGATAACCCTATATGCAAAACAGAAGAAGAGACTCAGATGTATAGAACAGACTTGTGGACTCTGGGAGAAGGCGAGGGTGGGATGTTTCAAGAGAACAGCATTGAAACATGTATATTATCTAGGATGAAACAGATCACCAGCCCAGGTTGGGTGCATGAGACAAGTGTTCGGGCCTGGTGCACTGGGAAGACTCAGAGGGATCGGGTGGAGAGGGAGGTGGGAGAGGGGACCGGGATGGGGAATACATGTAAATCCATGGCTAATTCATTTCAATGTATGACAAAAACCACTGCAATGATGTAAAGTAATTAGCCTCCAACTAATAAAAATAAATGAAAAAAAAAAAAAAAGGTAATGCAGGTGGGGGTGGGGACCTGTAGGTACAACCCCACACACATAGCTTCTCTTACCTTAAGAGGATTAAGTCTGATTCTTTCACTCAGTATGTACACTATCCTTCCTTAAAGATTTCACTGTAAACAATAAATGCTGAAGTCAAGTATCAAAATATAGTGTAGTATCTGATGATCACAGTGGTTCTTGATGGTAAGAGGAATGAGAGACAGTACAGTGGTAGGTGAGAGAAGTCATGTACAATTTTAGCAATACTTTGAGAATACTTAAAGCAATTAAGCAATTTTGGTTGTATTACCAGTTAACAATATATTCCTGATTTATGTTAACAAGTGGGCATAATCCTTTAAGGGCTTCCCAGAGGCTCAGTGGTAAGGAATCCACCAGCAATGTAGGAGACACGGGTTCGATCCCTGGGTTGGGAAGATCCCCTGGAGAAAGAAATGGCAGCCAACTCTAGTATTGCCTGGGAAATCCCATGGATAGAAGAGCCTGGTGGGCTAGAGTCCATGAGGTCACAAAAAGAGTCAGACACAACTTAGCAACTAAACAACAGCATGCATGGTCCTTTGAAGGAACCATAGGGGGAAAATCACCTAATCTATCAATAAAGACTCGGTGATAACGTTCTCTTTTCTTTGAAAGGTGTCCTCGAATGGCCATTTTGGACAAAGCTGGTTGTGGTGGCCATCGGCTTCACTGGAGGTCTGGTCTTCATGTACGTCCAGTGCAAGGTCTATGTGCAGCTATGGCGCAGGCTGAAAGCCTACAACCGCGTGATCTTTGTGCAGAACTGCCCGGACACAGCCAAGAGGGCGGAGAAGAACCGCTCTTGCACCGTGAGCGTGGACACCAAGGACGCTGGGGCAGCGCCCGCGTTGCCGACGGCGACCACTACACGGCCACCCACGGAGTCCGGGCCCACCGAGCTCGTACCCGTGTGACGGGGCCAGCGGGGGTCTGTCACCCAGAGCAGAGTCCAGCCTGTCACTACAGACGACAGAAGCGATCCTGAATAGTCGCCCTCTATCTTCTCTCCGCTTTCTGACCCATTTGTTCTTACTTTGCTCAAAAGGAAAGAAGAAAACACCAAATGACCAGGATCCCATGAAACAGTCTCAAGTGTAAAAAGGAAATGTGGAAGTTAGCTGGAAAATGATTTCTGAGACAATTCACCACTGGAGCAAGGGATGCTTTTAGGCAATGAGGAAAGCCTGGGTGGACAGACCTGTGAGTCCTCACAGTACCAGGGAAAGTTCCAGAGGAAGGACTTGAGTTGAACATGTGTTTCTTCTAGGGCCTCATGATGCTAATTCTCTCATCTGGAAATGACAAAGGTATTTGGGTTTAAGCTTGAAATTGTCTGCATTATCCCTAAGGCACATTAGACGCAAACTTGGAAGATGCATATTTTGATATTCATACTTTGACAGCTAACAGGTTTTTATGGCTATAGTGGAGTCCAGTTTGTTTTGACCGGTGCATGTTTTTAAAATAAATGCAAGACACGTTTGAAGATATTAATACTTGGAATTATGTTTAAATCATGAAGAGTAGATTTTGAAAGATTTTGGGATTTAATTAGCTCTGTTAAATACCCAGAAGCCTTGTATACTCCACTTGGACCCTCTGAAACAGCACTGTCCAACAGAAATGTAATGTGAGCCACAAAGGCTGGCTTACATATGCAAATTTAAAATTTTCTAGTAGTACCATTAGAAAAAGTAAAAATAAACAGGTGAATTTCGACAATGTTTTATTTAGCATTATATACCCATTATTATTTCAATGTCATCATGATAAAAAATTATTGAGTTATTTTACATCTCCTTTTATGAACCAAGTCTTCAAAATCCAGTATGCATTTCATCCTTACAGGGAATCTCAATTCAAATCCACTGTATTGGATACAGCAGCCCTAAAATTAGACACAAAACCTGTTTTAACAGTTGACTCTTTCAAAACAGCACTTCATTCTTTTTTTCAAAGTATCACAAATGTTATTTTACAAAGCACTAATCAAATGAAGTATCTTAATAAGTTAGACAAAGTTACTATTTTTCAAGAGTAATAAAACAAAACTAGAAAGCAATCTGCCTAAGTTTCAAAATTAACTTATTTGCTACTATGAAGCACTTATAATAGGGGAAATAAAAAATAATTTTTTAAGTCAAATGTACTTTTTAAAATCTACATAAGGTGTCAACTTGACAGATGAGCAGTGAGTAGCTATGACCAAGCATTTAGACTGTATTTTAAGGAGCTGACAATTATTCCCCTTGCTCAACTGGGAAGCAAAAACATTCAAGATTCTGTGATAAGTAATAAATTGAGTCGTTTAGGTTTGACAGATGAGTTGATTATTGTATTCTTTGCATATTCATGTGAACCTGAAGCATGAATAATACTGCAGTGAGCTAGACTAATGATTATAAATATAGTGGCCTGTCAAAGAGAGATGTCTTACATAAAACAAGGTGATTTATTTTTGCTAGCTGTTGTTATTTATTATTGTGAAAAGGCAACCATGATGGCCATAGAACCAAAGCATGGGTTTCACACTGCACAAATCTGGGTATCACATCATTGATGTACTTTGTCATTATCAGTGTGCTTGTTCCTTACAGGTTACCATAGAAAAAGGAAAGACAGAACCTTTTACTGAGAAGGATCCTAGGATACTAGTAGTGGCTGACACTGAGTCCAGATAGTTCCAGTTCTTAGAAATAGAGCAAAGGTCAACAGCGTCAACTTTGTGTGCATGTGAGGTATGTGTGTTCCTGTATATACATGAGAAAAACGTCAAAGTGTTCAGTCAGGCAGCAAACAAGAGGTTTTTTAAAGCTCATCTTTCTTAAAACTTGTTGAATGAAGGCACAGGGAAAAAAAAAAAAACACTTGAGGCAACTAAACTGGACCAAAATTTCTGCACAATTAAAATATATGAACCTTACACTGGACTTTGCATTAACTTCTTAATTTCCATCTTCAAGGTTTAAGACACATACATTCACGGATAATGAAGCTTTGGGTGACTTAACCATGGCACTTCACCCAAGGGACTAAACGTGATTCATTTCTTCTGATAACTTTCCTAAGCAGTTTACTAATCCATGTCTCCTGAGGTTTAGCAATGGCAACACTTCCACAAGTTCCTGAGGGAGCAAAATCATCACCAGCAAAGAACTGTTGATCTTTCTGTTGTCTGCTCTGTAAGGAAAAGGATTATTTACACCAAAAACACCATTTCAATTCTGTCCAAACTCCAGAAAGATAGGTAACTATATAGCTCATTTCACAGTGGAAGATGATTGGCTAACATAAGGCCTGGTTTATTAAGGGGCTCACTGAACACTAGAATGAAAAATAAAGATAATCTTTACTGTATTAATGATAAAAGAGGACATGGTGTTTTAAAACCACACATAAATTCTCAAAATTAACTTGAATAGGCTTTGTCTTTCTTGAACTGAGAAAATATAGAGCTCTCTAATGGGTTAAAAGTCAGCATTATTCCGCTGTTCTTTTTTAAAACCTGAACTCTTGAATTTAAATCATTAAAAAGTTTTCCCATAATGGCTGTTGAAGGTTCAAACAGTGGAAATAACTATGTGTATTTAAAACCTAGTGTTGATTGTTTTCTTTTATACTGTGTGGCAATGGTTTCTGACCTTTCAATGACTGGGTGTGGCTTTGTGAAAATACTTTCGTGGATTAGATATACCCTTTAAAAAGAAAAACTGCTCTCTGGAATGCTCTTCAAGTTTTTAAAGCATGTTTACCTGCTTATTTAAGAAATAAAATGGAATTGAAACAAAGGACTTAAATTGAAGAATAAATTTATAATTCTACTAAAACCTTGGCTTTTTATAATCACAACTCTGTGGTATTACCAGTTATGCTGTTAATTTTTTTTAAAGAACTGTCACTTTTATTGTATAAGCTCAAATATTAAGTTGTAAAGAAATGAAATTCATATTTTTTTTTTAAAGTGAAGCCAAAAAGGCAATCAAGCTTAAGTACAAATGAAACACAAATGTTACCATCAGCTTGGGATATAAAACAATGGAGAAACTGAAGGAAGACAGGTGTATACAGTAAAGGAGTCTTTCAAATGCCACAGGATTAAATCTCATTCTGAGCTGCTGCTCATGTGATTCTAGTCCCAGAGAGAGAGCTGCACAGTTAAAACTGTTTTGCACAAGGTCCCTGAACCATCTGTATACTTTGGCTGGAAAACCAGCCCATTGGAGCAATGGCGTCACTAACACATTCTGTCACAGAGGTGAGGTGGAAACTAGCCCATCAGAGCAATGGCCTCACTGACACATTCTCATTGTCATGGAGGTGAGGTGGGAAGAGTGTTTCATTTGCCTGACACAGTTCTCCTTTCCTTTCATGCCAGTTAGTATTTTGGAACAAAGTAGAGCTCTCCAAACTTAACATTGTCATTATTGTAGTTGTCATATAATTGTGTAGGACTTACACTTTAATTAACAAAGATGGAAACCAATTTTCTTCCCTTTTATGTCAGCCCAAAGGTGCTATTTTACATATCAATACAGTTGAGAGGAAGTACTGTTATTTTGGGCTGCAGTGTTTCCTCCACATCTGAAGAAAGCCCATTTGAAACTGCATTAAGACAAAAGAGAAATTTTAACTGTGTGCAATTTTGGGGATGGAGCATTTGTACTTTTTTGGTTTTTCCTAATTCTCTTGCATTAAAGTTTACTGTTTTGTGAATTATGTGTACTAAGACAAATTAAGGACAACAAATAATTCCCTGTGAAAAAAGACTTTGTATATTAAACAAGTGACCCAAACTTTTGTTGTGATTTCTTTATTTTTTGCCTAACTTACCTGAATTTCTTCAGATTTGTATCTGCAACATTCAAAGAGCCTTGAGTTCTTAAGATTCTGCAATGGTCTGGGTTTTAAAGCAGGGTCTGAACATATTTTAAGGCCAACATAGGTTGATTAACACATGGCATTTTAGGAAGGATTAAATAGGTGCGTTAACAAGGGAAAATCAATGAAAATAATCTACACAGACTTTCAAACTCTGTTTTAAAGAAAAAAAAATTAAGAAAAATCAGAATGCAATCCAGAGAAAGATTCTCTGATGAATAAGGCTTGGATATACAAAAGAATGTAACAGTATTTTCCTACCCAGAGGTAATAAAAACTAAAAGAGGGAATCTAATTCAAACCTAAGCGGCTTAGTGATCAGTGAAGAAAACACCCCAACTGAAGCCCCAGCTTTGAAGCCTGAATTCAGGGTCTAATTGGATGTGTTCATTCTTCTGTCCAAACGGAACATGTGCATGTGTCTTCTCAGCCTCCCAAACTACAACAAACCTAGATCATAGATCATTGTCACTGTGTGTTTAGCCAGTGGCCAAACCCGGGAGCTGTGACAGAGACACCAAGGGTGAGGTAGACTCCTTACCCCAGGGAACTGGCAGGGCAGGAAGCAAGAGTCCTGAACAAGGCACATCAGCAAGACCCAGCCAGGGGGGAAACAGTCTGCGCTGGAGTCTCAGCTCACTCCGTACAGAGGCACACAAGGATGGAGGAGGAGGCGCCAGCTCCTCGGGAGCCCCGCCACAGAGGGAAGGCGCGGGAAGAAAGGGGCGCGTGAGCAGTGACGCTGCGCGAGGTGGGGGCGCCCTGCGGCTGAGCAACCGGGACCACAGTGCAGCGAGGCCCTTCCGCAGCCCGCAGCACCGCGGGCCGAGGGGGAAGCCTCACCCTGTGTCAGAGCCCGAAGCACGGCGGGCCGAGGGGGAAGCCTCACCCTGTATCAGAGCCCGCAGCACGGCGGGCTGAGGGGGAAGCCTCACCCTGTGTCAGAGCCCACAGCACCGCGGGCCGAGGGGGAAGCCTCACCCTGTGTCAGAGCCCGCAGCACCGCGGGCCGAGGGGGAAGCCTCACCCTGTGTCA